TCCTGACCATGCCACAAGGTAAGCGGTACTCCATTCTCTCCAACGTATAGATGTCCAAGCTCAAAGCCCCAGTCGCTGCCGCTCAATTTGGCTTCCCAGCTTGCGCCTTCGCTTCCCTGGTGGAACGATTCTCTAGTCATGGCTACGTAGATGGGCCAGTTGGTGGTGTCGTGGATAGCTTCTTGGTCGGCGGGGTGACGGCTCCGGATCTCCTTGGCAATGATGTCCTCGAGGACTTTCGGGTCGTCATCGCGACTTGGCTTACCGATGGTGCTCTCGAACAGCGTGGTGGTCAGCCCGTTGACCCACGGCGCTGCCCAGAGGACGATGCGCGAAGGCAGCAACATGCCAGCTGTGCCGAACTTGACTGGATAGAGACCGCTGACGATGCTGGCTCCCAGCAGACGGTCCCTCGACACCTCCTTGACGCAAGCCAGTGCATAGGGCGCGCCTCCCGATACGCCCAGTACGTAGAAGTTGTGGATCTTGAGGTGATCTGCCAGGGCGAGCACGTCGGTAGGCCAGTCGAGGATGCGACGATTGATCTGGAAGGTCGACTGGCCGCTGCCAGGACGGTCGGGCGCGATGATGCGGACGTTGTGTAGGGCGCAGGCCGAGTGCCATAGCTTGCCTTCGTAGCGCGAGGATTGGCAGCCATGCATGAAGACTATCGTCTTCTGTGGCATCGGGCTGCCGTAGATGGCGTAGGAGAGGGTGCGGCCATCTTTGAGCTTCATGCGCTCATTCTCCTGCTGCATCGTATGCGTTGGGATTCGTGTTTGGTCGCGAGGGTTGCTGAGTTGTTCGTTGCAGCTTCTACGGGGGATGGAGGGGCGCGCAAGGCCACATTGCCTTCGCCGCCTGGGGTAAGCGCGACCGGCAGCGCATGGTGAAGGTTGTTTGCCTTGAGGGATATACCAGCAGATCGACGATACGGGTGAGTTGTGCAGAGCGGGGGATACCACGGGGTGAGCTTTGTTTAGGCCTCGCTAAGCTGCACTACGGCTGTGACGGGCAAGGCCTCCGAACATCTCGCCTACTAGTCCTGACTTCACATGCGTCTCCAAACATATTACACCAACATCGTTTAGATCAGCGACTCTAACTACTGCGTGGACGTGCAATCCCATCAAGGATGGTGTCCAGGTCACCTGCGCCCTCGCAGCCGGATAGCCGCGCCTTTGCTTACATCCCCACTCACGCCACCCAGACGAAAACGAGTCAAGAAAGAAGCATTACAAGGCCACCAAGAACTCCATCCAACAATCCAAATACCCATTGCATCCCAGTTTCCTGAAGCGCCAATGCTGCTACTACTTCCTCTTCATGTAGAGGGGGCGAAGCAGAGCCTTGACAAAGCCGTCCTCCTTAGCCAGATCCAGAGGGAAGATGCGGCTCTTCAGCGTATATGCACGGAAGAGCTTGTAGTTCTTGAAGACAATGACATCGTAGCGCTCGGGGTTGTCTAGATGGTCCAGGATGTTGAAGATGTTGACATAGACGCGTGAAAGAGCCTACGAGGATACGTCAGCAGAGCTATGCGACCGGGAAAAAAAGTGTAACCTTTTTGCACTGTGTTATAGAAGGCGGCGTAGGCTCGATCTTGACATCACGACACAGCTTCTGCCAGTTTTCCAGTTTCGACTTGTCACGGCCGTAGTGTCGAGACACCTCGAACTCAACAACCTCCGCGCGACGACGCTTCGCTTCGTTCTTGGACCAACCTTGGTGGATCGAAAGCTTGCTGAGTTTCGCTATGAGATCGTCCTCGGGATCTGGGACAAATCCATTAAACTTCTCTTGCGAGAAGTAGTCACGAACTTCATCAGAGGAACCGTCGTCGCTTGGAGGAGGAGTGCTACGGTCGCTCGAGGAAGCAGAGGCAGTTGCTACAGCTTCAGATACAATAGAGACGCCTCCCTCTGTTCAATGTGAGCATATCGCTATTGCTTGTTTATGTACGCTACTCACTAGCGCGACTTCCGCGAACCATCTTGCAGGGTCAGTAGTGCACGGAACTGCGGCAGTCGCCAATAGTGCCCAGGTGGTTTCCGGAGTACGCGCTACACTAACCAAGAGCGACGTTGGGACTGTTGTGCACACCAAGAAAAGAAACGGCTGGAAAGTGTAAATACAATGTTTACGTGTCGCCAAGCGGCGGCTGACTCATACAAATAAGCAACTATCTTTTAGTCCCATTTTCCCGTTGCACGGATCTGGTGTTGTAACCCCTGATATTGCTTCTGTTTGCAAGTGCAATTACGGCCCACGCGGATTCCTCCGGCCTCGATCACAACTTCCTTAACAACGCCCTGATGAAGCCATCTTCCTTGGCCTTCTTCAGCGGAAACATATTGCCCGGCAATGTGGTGTACGCTCGGAACTTGGAGTAGCTTTTGAATCGGATCACCTCCACACCGATGTTACGATGGTCAATAAGGTTGATCAAATTCACCAGGACGTTCCGGCTGCCAAGCACCTCATCACGGTTAGCAGCAGACTTTGCATCGCTTGCAACTCTCCTTACCTGTCTACACTGTGTTATACTGTCTGGTGGATCGCTGATGTGCACCTCACGACATAGCCTCTGCCAGATCTCTAGCTTTGTTGTATTCGTTCCATATGCATAGCCGAATTCCTCCTCCTGGCATTCAGCCCAACGCCTCTGTTTCAGTCTGTTGCCCCAGCTGCGTTGTGCTGCTAGACGCTCGAAATTGCTCCTGATTCCGACCGTTGGATCGTGTACGAAATTGTCGAACTGCTGGAACCATGCGCCGCCCTGGTTTGGGGTGTCGGTATCAACATTATCGTCCGCGTCAGCATGGTTTGACGCCGCTAAGACTGCCTGCAAACTGGTCCACTGCTTTCTTCGGAGTTTATCACCCCAGTTGCGCTTTGAGGCGAGACGATCGAAGTTACTCCTGGTGCTGGCGCTTGTGTCGCATGCGAAGAGTGCAAACTTCAGGAACCACACGGCAGCCTGACTTGTATCCTGGGCAGTTGAACTGTTTGGGTTCGCAGCAGAGGCTGCGGTGTCTAAACAGGTCAGTTAGAGTGTGTAGCATAAGATTTCGACAAACTTTACTCACGGGCGCGGCCGGTATGATGACCGGACATGGCGGATAGTCTAGGAAGGTAAGTGAGGTTCTAGGGTGGTGGAAATAACCCAGGACTCCTTAAATCGATACGTGGGTGCATATGGGAAGCTGCAGCAAACCGAGATGAGCAGACAATCGGACCATTGAGGACGTGGAAGACCCGAGATCCCTGGCGCCACGTCGGCAACGAGCTGGAACATTCTGCCAGTATTCTCTACAGGCATAGTTGCATAGGCTCCAATGATGTGGGTGGTGGCTTTGGGGTTTGAACATCGAATGAGCCTCGATCGCATTGAGTGCCTGCTGCACGGTGGAGCAACTGTGCCGCATGTATGCATATGCATAGCAGGGAGAGAGAGTAAATAGAAGCCCTGGGTTAACGTGAAGAGCTACTGAATTCTACCTAGGAAGAAAGATCCCTGAACATTATCCGGCATAGCACAATCTTCCATAGGTAGATGAGACCCTTCAGAATACCGCTTGAAGTAACAAAGCCTCCGATCTCTCTTGTACGAAGTCAAGGGTAGATCAAACCATGATAAGACTTCAGCGTGACGAGCTAGGTACTCTCGCCTGGCCGCAGCGAATCATCTTGATGCCTGTGCCTTCAGAGTACTTCCTTGAGAAAGATGGGCAAGAATGTGTCTCCCTTCGCTTCGTCAAGGGGATATCTGCGACCATTTAAGGTGTATTTCCTGAACTCCTTGAAATCTTGGAAGACAAACACGTCAGAGCCTGTTCGCTGCGAGTCAAGGAGATCGTAGATGTTGACCAAAACCTCCGCAAGTACCTGAATACGTGTCAGTAACTGAGTGTCATGACAAAGAGGAGAGTAACATACTTCCATGCAGCCAGGAATACTATCTGGGATTATATCGAGGCTGCAAAGGCGACAGAAGTCTTGCCAACGAGCCAGGCTACCCAGGTCGCTGCCCATGTGGGCTTCCCAATCGGCATCGAAGATCTCAATCCTGGCCTCGCGGCGCTCTTCACGACTCCAGCGCATGTGTTTGCACAATCTCCAGAACTCATTGTTGAAACTTGCCGTATGGTCGGGGAAGAAGCCCTCAAACTGATACCAGATGTCGCTCGCACGAACGCCGCCACTGTCGCTTGGAGTGGGCGTAGCATTTGACACCGAAGTACCAGTAGCATCATCGGGGACAGCATTGGCATCTGCCTCATGGGAAGTTGACAGAGAATCTGGGATCTGTCAGTTTTGTTGTAAAGTCAAACACTGTCTACTCACCGAAAGCGCGCCAGATGTAGACCTCGCCGAAGCACTCATGCCAGTGGTCATTCCACGTCTCTTCTCCGCCGACCCAACCCATCATCTTGGCTAGAAGACAGAATTGGCGCTTGGTAGAATCGTGGGTATCGAGTATGAAGACGCTGTCCTGCGCCCAGTTGCGAAACAGCGACTTCTGGGCATCTGAAGCGATTACTTTCGAAGCCATGGTGAGTTGCTGTCGTAGTCACTTGCGCTGGCGGCTGCGGGGTGTGTCGTGACTTAGAGGAAGTCAAAGAGGTGGACCAAAAAGAAGGGCAAGATATCTACCAAAAGCGTACTAACAGAGTGCGTGAGCGGTGAAGATTGAGCGACACCTCAAGATCGGTGAACGGTGAAGGCACGTGATTGGCATGATAGAAATGCGAGAAGCTTCTACACACAACGTTTTGTCACTGCAGAACGAGATGAATTTTCAAAATTATTCCGATTGATTGGAGGAGAACGGTAGCCATGTGCAGAGTTTATGACGTTTGGTCGTCACTCCAACGAGAGGCTGCATACCATCGCGAGCACCATCTTGTTCCCAGAATCAGATGTACCATGAAATGCCTAGATGTGAGAAGCCACACGCATGTCTGATTACCCTTGGAAATCCAGATAGATCAATGCAACTACAACTTGGACAGCAAAGCGGCCATGCAGCCTTCACCAGCCTTAGCACATTGCCTCGGAAAGGTGCCCTTCTTGCGGACGCTTTGGCGAAGCTCGCGGATAGTCTTGTATGTGATGACCTTGATCTCGGGATTGCGCATGTGGTCGATAACGCTGTAAAGGTTGACTTTGAGAGGCCGAAGCGCCTATATATTGTCAGCGGCGTACTTTTGTGTGGGCTCATAGATGATGTGCTTACGTTCTTCGCCTGGGTAATAGTCAAAGGGATCTGCTTGACGCCCATCTCCTGACATAGGAACTGGTAGTATTCAAGCTTGTCAACGTCGTCCGCACCCCAGTAGAACTCAACCTCGCTAGTGAGCAGCTCGACTAGGTGCTGGCGTTTGATACGTCCCACCCAACCTTTGGTGCGAGCTAGACGTTCGAACTCTGACTGAAAGGACGCATCTGGGCGGTGCACGAAGTTGGTGTATTCACTCCACGCTGGTTTTTCGTCCAACTCTAGCGATGAAGCCTCTGACTCAGCATCGCTGTGTTCTGAAGCCGTGTCCGGGATCTCAACGCCCCCAGAGATCTCCTCCAGGGACTTGACCGTATCAAGAGATAGTACACTGTTTTGTAAGTCGGTGCTATCCGAGACTTCTGTGTTCGGTGGATGTTTTGGACTGGTGGAAAATCCTTCAGCTTCGTGTGACTGGTCGCTGTTGATCGACCTCACACTTTCGAAAGAATTCGCCGACGTACGTGAGATGACCGAGAAAGACGAGGTATCGGAACCAATAGAGAGACTTCGCATGCGGTCCGTGAGATCGATTCCACCAGCTTGAGCAGTCACGTTCTTGTGAACAGTCGTATCGGCTGTTGTTGACTTATCTGATGCCATGCATTAGTAATGGTTTCCTCGACACCGCCTTTCCAACTTCCTCGCATCATCAAAGACGCATCAAGCGGAGCGAGCTGAACTTACGACGAACTCCCCATGTGTATGTCTCATCAAAACACGCTTTCCAGTGATAACACCATTCGGTATCCCCGCCGGTCCATCCCTTTGCCTTTGCCAGGCGCGCGAACTCGGCTTTGGGTGAATTGTTGTCATCAACGAGATGATCGGTGTCCTTGGCCCATTCTTTTAGAAGCAGTTTCTGGGCTTCGGCGGTCATTTTGACAGAAGCAGAAGATAGCGCGCTGATACAGCTACCGTCCGCTCCTATCGCAATGGTCTTGAAGTGTCCACGGGTTGTTGGCGGAATGGTGGGGTTGGGCTTAAAAGTGAGTAAGAGACAACAGCGGGAAGGGGTGCGAAGCACTCGTCAAGTAGTTGGGGGAGGCAGCTGTGTGGGTAATGGAGGGGCTGCAGCGGACTCTCCCAGGGTTTCGCATACGCGCTCACACGTGGTTGCGAAGCTTGAGATCCGCATTCGGTTAGCGTTTGATGCCGGATTTCGGCCTATTCGCGCCAAGCAGGGCGTTTGCAAGGCACACTCATCATTGCATTCCAGTGAATGCTTTGACAGATCGCACAATACTAAAGACACATTGATATGGTAATTGCTCCTGCTGTAACATCATTGGTTACTAAGATGCCGAGCCCATCCAAGATGTCCGCCAGTGCTTACATGCCGAGATACATCCGAGCCACATCGCCTACATGCGTGTTCTGCCGCGCAATGCAGCGAACTTCCCAAGACGCGACTTCGAGCCTCAAATTGACTTCTTCATCGCCCGCTTATCATTTCGTATGCGCTCCTTCTCGTCCACTGTCGCGTTCTCCCCATCTCATTTTAGACGCTCGTCTGACAGGTGGCATCAGATACCTCTTGAGCCTTGCGTCGATTTGTAGCTGCTCGAGTCCGTCCGCGACTGTCGACAAGCGCAGCAGACTTCTCGGTGACAACTCTGGTAGCTGGAAGCTCGTAGGAATCGTCGCTGTCATTCGCGCTGCCGTCCGCACTGTCGTACACGGAACCCTCTAATTCTTCATCTGCTGTATCTTCCGCTTCCTCATCATCATCTTTCCCTTCAACCTCGATTTGTTTCTTGACCTCGCCAACCTTTTCAAACTCCTCGTAGGCTTCAAAGTCTGAATCGACACAATCCTTAGCTAGAGCCTTCATTGCTGCCTCTTTGCGAGCGCGGTCGAGTGTGATCTTGAGTGGTTTAATGGGAAAGCCCTTCGGTTGGCGCAGCTGGAGATCATTTCTACGGAGGCGAGCCTTGGGAGTACCGAGGTCCCAATCCGTCTTTAGGAGGATGGGCATTACGAGAGTGCTATTGATATTCTTAGCTTGGTCTGTCTGGTATCTTGTGAACACACGCTTACCCATTCGGCGCGGGTCCATCGGAGGGTACGGCAGGGTCTGAGAGCGCTGCGCCTGAGTCGATACGAGGCTCTTCATACGCCTTCTTTGGTGCTACTTTGACACGAGCCATGTTGAAAGATGCCGAGATGTTTAGGTAAAGTGGGAAGCTGATGTGCTGACGTGCGTTGCTGGGTATTGTCGCAACAGTGGAGTAGGAGCACAGAAGGGAACGAAAGGTAGAGCAGCCTAGCGAGCGGATACACAATTAATTTCACGTCACGCTAGCTGAGCTAAGACGTCCTAGATTGAGCGTTGTAGTCAAAGTGAAAGTGAACGTGGAAGTTGGCGCAGCCGTTTGGTACCAAAGTCATATTGAGCAGACTCGGGATAAGGAAACGAGGGTGACGCACGGTGCGACAATGCGGAGAATTTACCCAAGTAATGGAAACGGGAAGTGCATATGGTCAGTCTTTAAAATATTTGTTGAGTCCGTGGTGAGTTGGGAACGTGGCGCCCGTTACATGCACGACGCGGTGGTCGGGGAAAGCACCCTCAAACTGGGCTCTTAGCAAGAACAATTTCCACATCTTGCTGCGCGGACTGCGCTACTTTTCATGACATGAACGTATCCCCTATCGTCCTGGATGTGTCCGGTCGATCGCTGAAGTCGGGTTGAAGGGAAAACCGGTGGCCACATCCTCTGGTAGCGTTGACGAGTGATATAGCCGAGAAGAACCTAAGAATATCATCTGATCTATATTAGCTCAACGATCCTGAGTAGAAATGTATAGTTCACCATGGGTGCTCTGCACAATGACTAGTGACACTCCACATGGCTCTCGACCCCATGTGAAGCTCATCGGCCTTGCTGTTCCTCATGGGGCAAGGTAGTACCTCCATCTGCAAAACGTCATCGGACGTGTGATTTCAATAAGAGCAAGAGGATATGAATGGACTTTACTCGAGAATGCAGTTGCGCAGATGTGCAGCGCAAGCGCGTTGAGGCGCAACGCGTGAGACACGCGGATCATTTCCTCATTCGACATGGCTCCACTCGGCGCGGCGAATGAAGCAGCCATCACGCCGGCAATGGAGAATACACGATACAGTGTGTGATGTGCAACGAGATCCACGTTCTTAACGTAATTACCATAATTGTTCAGCAGTACCTAGTTTGAAGCTGATGGCTCCATGAACTCTAGACTGAGGGGCCATAACAAGACCATGCGTAACCACCAGGACCAGATATCGATGTTTTAGCTCTGCATATACTAATACCTCCCACCCTCCAAACGTTATCCATACCTAGCTATCTACCCTTACCCCTCGCCAGGTTTTCAGGAACGGATCACGGTACGGATACTGCTTCCACTCACGTTGCGCGAGTGTGAAGGCGTTCTGAGCGAACTTGTGGCCTGGTCTTGCTGCCTCGTAGCTGCGAGGCTACGCGTGCGAGCTGGGATCAAATACGTGGAAGCGATGTCTGGGACTGGTGATGTCATCGGTGTCGATGCCATAGTTCCGCCGATACCTGTTCGAGATGTTGGCCAAGCTGTGCTGAACGGCGCATTGCGGGTGATGGAACAGCTCATTGGCATAGTGGCAGCGAATGGGGTTTTCAGAGCTGACTTGCGTGGTGGACCCACAGATGGGACGACAGGCATGCTTGACGATGAAGCAGTGCTGTGTCGTCGTTCAGATTGAAGCGAGGGCTGCGTAGCATCGTTGTGTGAAGAGGCTGTTTGAGGATCTGGCGAGAAAAGAGCTGGCGAAGTTCGCTCGGCGAATACATTCGCTGACAATATTTGCGCAATGTGCGCGCTGGATGTCGAGCGTCTGCGATTCACTGGTGCCTTCAAGTAGCATCCTTCTATACCTTCCACTCGTTCCGTAATCAGTCATCAAGGTGGCGGTACAAAGTGCCTCTCATCTCAACACATGTAGTGCAAGATGCGTGTTCTGTTCTGCGCGCTTTTCCGCTATTAACACGCCTATTCGTAGGCGCGAGATGCAGAAGGGTAGAGATTAAGGTTTATTATTATCTACACATTGTTTCTTAGCGTTTGTACATGCGTACTTATTAGCAAGCACCTAGTACACCTTCTATACTATAGTCTAATAATACTCTAGTTAACACTTTTAATTAAGTAGATACGTAAACTCTTCTATACCTATAAAATTAGTAAGAAGTTTCTATATTATATTCTAGCTACTACCTATCTTATAGATAAAAGAACTACTACTTAGAATAGTATAATCTAGCGTAATAAAGCTAGTATAGAGTTATTTAGTAAGTAAGCTAACTCTACTAGTATACGCCTTCTTCTTATTAATTACTAAGTTCTTTTAGTGCTATTTGCGTTAATAATATATTAAACTAATATTATTAAATAGAACTACTAGTAAAAAACTATATAAGTTATAGCTTTTATCTTCTAATATATTAAATAAGAGAAGCTTTAGAATAGAATAAGTATTTAAGCGCTAGAATTTAGGTAAAGTAAGGCTTAGACTATAAAATATACCTTCTTAGTCTTATATAAAAAAATAAAGTAGTACTAATAGTGTATTTTATAGTAAATTATATAGAAAGTATAGCGTATATCTATACGTATAAAATACATCTTATTTATCTTTAGTCTAATAATACTAATAGAACCTAAAGTTACTTATAGAATAATTCTAAAATAGTATAATAATAAGCCTAAATATAGTATAAGTATACTATAATAAGATAGCTCTAAAGAATTTACTATATATCTACTTCTACACTTATAGCTAAGTCTACCTTTAGTATAATAGCTAGACTTAGTTAGATAGTGTAACTAGTAGGTTATAGTAATATAAATTATCTTATAGAGAGTAATAACTTAGCTTTTAAGTAAAATAGTTCTATGTAATAATATTAAAGACTTTCTTAATCTAATAACTAAAGAGATCTATTATAAAATAGTATTTTAGATTAATATCTTTAAAAGTGTTATATTTACTTATTATAGTGTAGAAGTATATAAATATATTCTTTTCTAGCATAAAAAAGAACTTAGATAAAGAAATTCTAGTACTATAATTTTAGTAGGTAAACTAGTAAAAGAGAAAGTTAAACCTAAAAGTAATTAATATAGAAAAGTTTTATATATATAAATAATATACTACTTAAAGAGATTAAAATACTAGCTAATTCTACTATTATCTCTAGTTCTAGTAATACTAACTTTTATTAGCTTACTTCTATAGGCGTAATTCTAACTATTATATTTATATTATATAAATACTTAACACTTTAGCTTCTTTTACTTAGTTCTAAAAATAAGCTTAAAGTTAGCTAGCTAAAGTTAGTAGTAGACAAAGTTAAAGTTTATAAGTAGAGAATAATTCTATCTTCTAGCGTTACGCACGTATTAGAATATTTCTATAGTATATTTATATACTATAAAGTAAGATATAGTTTCTAATAGCTTTAAATTATAGTTATTCTAAATTATCTATAGTCTCTAACTACTAAAGTAAATACCTAACTAGAGATTAATATAATTAGTTCTATTATAAGTATATAGCTAAATACAAGTTAACGTATCTAGAAAGTAAGTAATAGGTATTGTATAGAGAGTGTTACATAGGCTTAGATTACTATATACTAAACTTAAAATAAGTAACTTACGTAAGATATTTATAGCTATAAAGTAGTTTTTATTCTTCTTATTATATAGTAATCTAATATATAAGTTAGAGATTAAGTTAATAAAACTTATATTACTAGCGCGTGCGTAGATAAACAAAGAAACCTATACTCTTTATTTTAATATAGTTATATAAATCTACTTATTAGCTTTTTTTAAATCTCTACTCTTTATATTAAA